TGCCATCACTTTGGTCGCTGCAACAGATGATCTATGTAAGAAATGCTCCACGGCTCTCTCAAATTTTCCAGAAGAAGAAAAGGGTACACCCAGATATGTGTAGTTTCTGGTATACTCCAAACTTGTATCTCGCCAAGCCAAAGTCTTAAGTTTCTTCATCCTTAGAGATTTATGGAACACCAACACCTTCGACTTAGATGGATTTAGGGTCAAAGATATTCTTTCACAGTATTCGCTCAGTATATTAATGTTTCTTTGTGCACCATGCCACGAATTACTGAGGAGCACAATATCATCCGCTAACAGAAGCATAACTACTTCATGGTTGTGGTCTATACTAATACCAACAGCTCCTCGGTCACGGAAGTACTCGACTATGTCCGAAACAAACAGGATAAACAATGCAGGACTAAGACTGTACCCCTGAAGCAGGCCCAGACTGATACCAAGCTCTTCTGACAGCTCGTGTTTCAACTTTATCCGCATCGATGACATAAATTAATAAAATTATAAACAAAACAATTTAATAAAACTCATACATCTTTTTTTTGTATATAAATTATTAACGAATCGGGATATAGCTGAGAAATTTGTTGTATTTTTTGGCTTATGATGCCGTAATTATTATAGTTACCTATGAAATTCTCCGTTGGACATTTAGAATCTTTAGGGTCTACTTATATATTTAACACTTTAGAATTAAAAAATATTCAGTTATGCAGGCATAATCTCCATTTAAAAAAAAACAAAACATTTTTGCAATTGTGATGTACACCCCGAAATTCACATGTTCTAGCAATGGACCAGGAGGACGGTACCACTAATAAACACCTCAGGAAAATTCTAAATTTTTATTTAATTATAAAGATAACGATAAAGATAAGATAACAGGTTCAACTTACTCTTAGCAAAACTGTTATTAGGGAGGTATGAAACACATTGATCTCAAGAGCACTATAGAAACAACAGTGATAGCCATTTTAAAATTTTCATTTGGTAATTTTGTTCATACTATTGTCAATAGAGGGCATCGCTCTTCAATCGAGAAACAAAATTGAATCTTTGAATCAACATGGATGCTTATAATTTACATGCCAAGTCCAACATGTCGATCACTGGGCCCCTTATCCATAACAGGTACATTCACCTTAAATGAAAATAAATTCATTAAAAGTGCAATTTCATAATTTAAAAATAAACTAATTTAACAAAATGTTTACTTTCACTTACGTATATATGTAATGTATAGTAAGGGTAAGTATTGCGATCGTGAAAATTTTCGAATTTCAGTTTTCAATGGAAATATATGTTTTGAGGTCCTCTGAGTCCAAATAACCAAGGGTCGCAAACTGGTCTGTGTGTGTATGTTAACAGTCTATCTCATAAACGAAAAGTAATACGAAATTGATATTAAGTATTTAAGATAGGTATACGGGCCGGATGTGACAGCAAATTTTTCGTTAAAATCGGCTAACCGGAAGTTCCAATTTATATGAACGCTGAAACACATTTTTACAATTTTCTCAAAAACGGCAAAAACGATTTTGATTGAACTCGGTATAACTAAGTGGTCTTTAATATCATTTAGGTCTTATCTCCTTTGATGTCACTTTACAGGGCTTACATGCCCAATGTTCATATATGTCTTCCTCTAAAGTATCTTTAATATGGTTTATTTTAAAAAGTTAATCTTTTCTCCTCATTCAGAGTTACGAAAAAATGCTACATATAACTTTTGAAAGAATTTGATAAGTTAATAAAATAAAAAATATACAAACAAATAAAAATAAAAATGCAGAAAAACGTGCGTTGCTATAGACTGTAGCGCCTAAACGAATGTACCGATTTCAATGAAATTTCGCTAAAGTCATTTTCTCGATACCCTTTAAATTTATCTATATAACATACTTCAAAGAAAAGAACCTGGTAAAAAAAGTTACGAGGGATGGTAAAATTAAATTCCAAATAACTCAAAAAGTATACACTTTTTTGTGAATATTGTGATGAGATGTTTCAAAGGTTTTTAAATTTCCTAAAAAATGAAAGAAGTTTCGTCGAAATCGAATTAGAAGAGATATCACGATTTAAAAAAAAAGAAAGTTAAATTTGGACAATTAGGAGGAAAGATATGTTCTCTAGTTTTTTTCCCTGAAGAGGCGAAAATTTGGATAAATTTAAAATACACTTTTTTAATTGATGAGACTAAAAAAGCCTTTTTTCTAGAGATATTTAATAAAGTATCTTTCCTAAGAACATCTTTCATAAGAAATAAGTACCTAAATTTATGACTTTATTCTCAGTTCTATATTTCAACAATGCAATCACCTCCTCCAGAATCAACTTACTCATATTCTGCATAGATAACTTTTTCAACTAAAAATATCACTAAAATGACATTCCTCAAAAATGTTGAAATTGGAGTTGTGTTTATAAAAGCAGATGGAGTGACTAGATTTTTATTGCCTACCGTCGATATATTAAATAGACATTTTGTAATTAAAATGGTGTTAATGAAATGTTATCTGTAAGCTTTAAGCATTAGCTCCGTTTAAAATGCACTTCAAAAAATTTTATAATAGCCCAGCATTGCCAGATAATAATTTCTATTCAAAGCAGAGCGGTAAGTGAAAGTTGTGTGTTGCGCACACCAGATTTTTTTTTTGTGACGTCAATCCAAAGAACAAATTTAGTTCTGTTTCAATTTTTATTTTTCACACATAAATTGCAGTCTGATAATGTAGTGTTGATTCAAAATATATTTTTTAGTCAAAACAGAATATCGTAAACAACCGTATTGTTTATCTATCAAAAACTAACTTTGCCTATTTAATTAGGTGCTAAAAACATGTAAATCACCAGTTGCTTTGCCTTGAATCGTAAGATAACTTGAGCACAAAGGATGAAAAAGAAGTGGCCTTCAAAAAAAATTGATCTGTTTGGTATGACCTACACCCCCAAATTGTAAGGTTATACAAAGCAAATGGCCCAATATTTTTCTAGGTCACCTTTATTTGTTTATTTACAAGTTTTTAGTACCGAATTAATTAAGATGAGATGAAGTTATTTATGAAGTTTCAGCCAAATGTTGATAATTTAATAAAAAGGGATTCTACCACGGTCTAGAACACAATGAGTCAATTGCATCAGCTGTTTTCCTTGTCATAAAAGAGCGCCAAAATTACCCAATCCGACTCATGTACTCTTATCGCGACAGTAGCCCCCTCGATGCACCGGCGAGCAGTCATGTTTCGACACCTCCTCCTCATAACATCAATTTCTACAGCTCTTGCAGGTATTATTTTGTAATTAGTCTTTTATAATTTCCAATAGTAGGAATTACAGTTTTACCTTTTTTGATTAAATAACAACAACATTTTAAAAGCAATCAAAACACATTCATTTATGATTTTTGTTTTTATCTATATATATAAAAATGAATATATGTCTGTCTGTCTGTATGTCCTTTGTGAATTACTAAACCATTCATCCGATCGCCATGAAATTTTGGGAAGTTGTTCCATACCCTTCTGGGAAGGTTTCTGGCATAGTACTTCTGTCTTACGATAATTTTATATATGTAAAAAAAAATAAAAATGTGAGTTTTTCTGTTCAAAGCCGCAAAATAACCTGTAGCGCCAAAACGGCTTTACCGATTTTAACGAAACTTGACTAAAGTCTTCTCCTTGAAACCCTTTGAATTTCCCTTATATACTTATAAATATACTTTCCCGAAAACAAGCTGGAAAATGTTACGATGAATTCAATATTTTATTTGCTGTTAATGTTTCTGAAAAATGAAAGATTTCTGAATTGCTGACGAAATAAAAAAAAAAATAATCATCGAAATCGGACGGTTCTTTGCAGATTTATAGAGTTTTAAACATTTACTGATTTCTATTCAGAAAAGGCCATTTCCTTTTGCTTCCTGGCTACTGAAGGTAGGCAAGCATTTTTTTTATTGATTAATCGAAAAAATTTTTAATTACTACAGTAATTGAAAATATCATTTGAAGAAGTTATATGATTCTCCTTATGTAGGTCAATACTATTATACGTTTTTTTTAATTAATTTTTTAATTTAGTTTTTTAAGTTCAACTCAGACTGTTTCTGATGATTATGAATGACGGCGTATTCACTCAGATGATTATGAATGTCAAATTTGAATCATGAGAAAATAATCATTAGAATTAGTTTAAATTGAAGATATTTTACAGAACAAATTTGTTTCCCAACTTTTTAAAAATGACAGATGTACTTTGCTACTAATCTACTCATATGTGCTTTCTATTTTCTTTTTTTTCATTTTGCCAGGCTAAGCCGTGGCCGGGTAAAGCTAGTAATAATATATAGGAAAGCTATGCATGTTATTTCACTACATTTATTTTCATTTTACATTGGCTAAGATGCCATATTCAAGCCATGTGTAAGACAAATTCACAATTAGTTTCATACAATAATGAATTTAAAATGGTCATCTTTTAGATCAACAATTTATAAATTATAACCCTAATTCGGTCGAGTCAATCCAAGGTCTATAAAGCTATATATATATATATATATATATTACTTCCAATTAACAACAATTGAATATATTTGTTGTATTTTAAAATTGCATGTTTACAACTTTACGTTTCGGGATATTTACTCCCATCTTCAGAACCACAATCCCAATGATCTTGTGGATAAATGGCTAAAAACTAATATGCTCCATCGTCAGTTTCTAATTCATGTAATAGTAAATCTAGGTAATGTTGCTCTAGATGTTATATGCATAGATTTATTATAACATGAATTAGAAACTGACGATGGGGCTCATTAGTTTTAAGCCATGTATCCAAGAGATCATTGGGATTGTGGTTCTGAAGATGGGAGTAAATATCCCGGAACGTAAACTTGTTAACATGCAATTTTGATAATACAACAAATATTAAGTCGTTGTTAACTGGAAGTAATCATTGCCAAATAACAAAGAATATCTTACAACTTCCCAGAAAAAAACAAGAAAAATATGCTAGTTACGGTGGATCGATGAATAATTAAAAGCTAACAAAATTTCCTACAAAAAGAAAAGTATCTCGAAATCGAACCATTATGAGCAAAGATAAAGGCTACAGTAAACTGTACAAAAGTTTTGGTTTATTATTATAAATTTACTATTTTAATTCGACCAAGCAAAGAAAAAATGTATTCCTCCGCCTGATGATGGATTTCACTAAGATATTTTCATACTATTTTATCAGTTGTTCTCTGACCAATGTTTATAAAACTAATTGATCATATCAGTTTCTATCACATAAACATAGAGCATAAACATAAGCATTTAGAGAACAGGAGGGGAATTTTAGTTGATTTTCTTGAAGGAAATGATGATGAAAATCGACATTTTTTTCTTTTGGTCCATGTGAAGATAAATGCATTGCAACAGGTGTTAAAATCAGGGTTTAAATCCTATATATTATTTCTAAAAGGTGATTTTTTTTTGGGTACGCTATAACTTCGTCAATTCTTGATTGACCACTCATTTTGAAGATAGTCTTATCCTTCACTGGCGAAAAATAGTCCCATCCCCTCGAAATTTCTGGAAGAAAAGTTATGGAGGAAAAGAATCTTTATTTGCGAATAAATAAAAAAGTATGTATTTTTTTCTTAATTGTACCCATGAAAATTAGAAAGATTACTTGATTACCTAGAAAACAAAAAAAAATTGTAAAAATCGATTATAAATATGTAAAATTTAAATAATTTGTATTTACGGAAGGAGTAAAGTGTGTTGAAATATTTTTTTAAGGAGGAAGATATTTGAGATTTGTATTTCGCAGCTTGAAAGACACTCGAATATGAATTTTCATTGCGATCGAAAAATAATTTTTTTTCCCTACTTATTTGACCTAAGGGGGGCCTTTGGTATTTGTTCGAAAATCAAAAAAAGTGTTATAACTTCAATATTCTTCCACATATATACATGAAATTTTTGCAGGGATATAGGGCCTTATAAACTACACGAAATGACACAAACTGTACCTTCCTAAATAATTTAGAACCCAAATCATAAAATAAAAACCTGTTAGAAGTTTTTGGAATATTGTGATCGATTAAGGAAAAAATATTAATTCCTTCCTTACATAATACATAAGAACTACTTATTTCCATATTGTTTTGCTATTTCTTCATTAAACAAAATTGTCTGCGAATGTTTCGCATGGGCCAACTAATCCATAATTAAAGAAGTAAAAATAATAATTAAATCAGATAAAACTTTTTATCTAGAATTTCTACAAATCATTTGATGATTTCTATTTTTGATCATTAGTGATAAAAATCATATTTTAAGATCGGCATTAATGGCAATAATAACGACTAAGAGACTTTTACCAAAAATTATGTTTGATTTCTAAAACAGTGTATTTTTTGGGCATAGGCAGGGCTATGTATGTCCGCATCAAAATCTTAAAAGCACATTTATTATATTTTATTATATTTTTCAGTTAATAATAAATGTTAAGGTATGATTTTTATAACTAATGATCAAAAATAAAAATTATCAAATGATATTTAAAAATGTTGATCAGATTTTATTTTGATTTTGATTTCTTTAATTATAGATTTTAAACTTTGATTTAAACACATGGTGCAGTGCAGTCTAGAACAATCTAGAGCGGGGGAGAACGTCATAGAGGAACACATTCCAAAGAGGTCGAAATTTTATAACTTGATTCCATCTCTCTCTGGAGTTCCTTTTGAAGTTATTTCTCCATCTCCTCGAATTTATATTATACATCCGTTTTCCTGATAATAATAAATGTCCTTTATGATTTTCATCCGAACATCATACAACTATACAGATACAACTATACAACTATACCCTTCATCTGCCCAAAAAATACATTTTATTATAAATCAACCGTAATTTTTGGCGAAAATCGCTTAGGTGGTATAGTTTCCATCAGTACCAGTCTTAGAGAGGGGCAACCGGGAATCAAAATACAATACAAAACGCATTAACCGTTTTTTTATCAAATTATTAACATCCGCATGAAAATTCGTGAATAGCTTCATCTCATCGAAACCTACAACTATTTTATTTGCGAAAACTCTTGGAATTGGGGCGTTATCAATCTGGAGATCGGAAAACTTAATCTATTTTGGTACTAAAACTAATAAATACCCATTTGGATTGTGAGTTATTTTAAAATGTTGGGGATGTAGGTGGTTTAAACCAAATGGTTCAATATTTTTGTAGGCCTTATTTTGACTTGATTTTATTATCAAAATTATATATAAGTTTCTCCCTAATTAACCTAAACTTAATTAATATGGACTAAAAGCGTATTAAATGTTTTTTTTGTTTTTTTTTTTGGAAAGTGTGGTATTTGTAGTATATTTGGAGGATAAAAAAAAAAATCAGGAATGGTTTATGATTTTTTTAAAAACAGAATTTATCTAATTTTAGCCGCTCAAAATTCCTCTTTAAATGTTTTAACAATGACAATCTCTGCTTTACTTTAAAGAAAATATTGTCTATTTTTATTATATATTAACTATAATATTTACTAAAACATATCTACGATGGAGTGATGTTTAATTACCTAATTTAAATAGTTTTTATGTTATCGCTCTCTATTCAACAAAAACCGTGACTCGCATAAAAAAAAAAAAAAAACCTTAAATTTCCTAATTTTCTGCTGGACATTGGACAATTGATCCAAGACAAGTTTTATACCTTCATTATGTCTGAGAAAAGACAAGATAACAATCAAATAGAGCATCTTACAAATATATGTGTATTAGAAAACTTAATAAGAAATGAATAATAATTAAATTGTGTAAAATAAATTAAAATAGCAAGGAATGAAAATATATACAATGCATTATTCTAAGTAGTGCATAATTAAACGTAATGTAAATATAAATATATATATATATATAATTTTGTATATAATTATTATTTATGTAACTAGATCATGCACTGATCTAGTGCATATAACTATATATAATTATTATATAGTTATTATTTATGTATATAATTATATATTTTATATATAATTATTATATATAATAATATATATAATTTTGACTCCATGACTGCAACCCAGTATTTCCTGAACATTTTTTTTTATTTGGGTTATATACAACTCAAGGAGTCATATCCCCAACACCCAAAAGCCACTGCTCCCTGTCCATCCAATCTCCCTCACGAAGCCCTCTGGCTGCCATGCTTTCCTCCACGTCCTCTATCCATTTCTTCTTTGGCCTTCCACGCTTCCTTCTTTCAGGTGGCATATAGTTATAAA